GTGTTTCTTCATCTTCTTTAGGCGTATTCCACGATTGTTGATTGGCTGTTCCTAACAATAAAAACGTTAAGGAACCAATGATGTAGATGGCAGCAGCAAGATAGAAAACCTTTTGCCATTGACGACGAGTTGGCTGAAATATCAAAAGACAAACAGACGATGATTTAATATCACAGTGTCCATGTTACCAATGTTTGTAAAGTCTGCGAGTATGAAAAAAGAATCATATTAGTAAAGTCGAATATTTCACCGTCGCCATTTAATTTTATKTAAATTGATAGTCTTACGTAAGTGAAACGACTCTTGAAATTGTACTTAATAAAAAAAGACACCCACCCWATKGTGACCTGCTAAACGTTTGTCGTCCATTACCTGGTTATTGATAATCCACCCCGTGACGTATGGTGCAGTAATCCCAGCTAACGTCCCAACGGTATTCGATAAGCCAACTAAGAGACCAGCATACCTTGGAGCGATGTCAAGATGATTAACAAGAAATCCTGACGCCGTCAGCCCGTTTAGACCAACAGCTATAGAGAATATTATGATAGACAGAGTTTTGTCGTTACATCCTGCATAGCTATTGGCGACCAACAGAAACGCGGGAGGGAGAAGACCTGGGAAACAATAGTAATATGTTAACCCGCAGTTGACCCTGAGCTTGTGCATGGGAGCGGGTTTAAATGCAGTGAAAAAGACATAAGAACCAGCGCCCGCTGCTTTTTGTATCTTTTCCCCTTGGAGATGGTTTGATAGGGCAGGCACCACAGGGMGCCCAAGCAATGWCTTTGAATCCATAATTGTTAAAAATAAAATATTGCTTCTAAAAATGGTTTACTTTTATTTTATTTAGCATCACTATCCTATGCATTATAAATGGTTTAAAAAATCTCCCCTGCCTTCGCATTCGTGGTATTAATTCTCACTTTCAACAAATAGCTATCAAACACGCGCGGTATTTTTTATTAATTCTTCTCGAACGGTGGTATTTCCTATACTAATTATATGAAAAAGGTACTTCATAGATTGTTTTATGATAAAACGCCGTATTTACCAGCAAGAGTGAAGATCTTCCTAACTTCAGCGGTGGTTGATATKTTTGATTTCTGCAGCCAGTCGGCCATGACACCAGATACCATGATAAACACATAGGCCAATGCATTAGGAATGGCTGATACCACACCGTTCTACGACAATCATAAAATATTTATCTATGGATTTGACTCAGTTACTCCTGTTACYTCGATGAAGCGTGCCTTCGCGATTCCCGACCGAAGGCTTTAAACTGAATATAGCTGATTGCCGAGTCACAMAGTGAGCCCTCGCCGGAAAAAATCGCGCACTTTAAAGGYTSTAAATTKGATGTGAATATTATGTAAGTGTACAAAATGATGTAAATTTRATGTAAATCATTTACATCAAATTTACATCAKTTTGGATGCTTACATAATATTTAAATCAAATTTACAACCATGAAGTGCGCGATGTTTTCCAGTATGYTATCTTCGCGWTATGACCACTTAGTGGAATTGCGCGCTGCTGAATATTGTAGGGCCGTAATTAGAGCGCGTACTKATCCACAGGGTCTCTGTCCCATACTCTTCAAAGCACAAACCAATAGGCAATGTGCAGCGACGCCATTTTRTGCAGCAAAGCATGATRGGAGTTGTAGTAATCGCAAAGTTTCATGTCCGCTATAAAAGTCTCGTTTCGTTTCGTGTTGTGCCATATCCATGAAGAAAATTATGTAAATACACTCACCTTAGCTATKTCAATATTGAGAACTTGTTGAAAATACATTGGCAGTGTTGTGAGAAAGATGTAAAAGCCCCAGCTCGTGCTRAAGTTTACTATAAATATTGCCCATACAGCGCGTGAGGTAAGAATTGATAACCATGGTGCAGAATGAGCCTAAATGAAAAGTAAAAGATTTTAGTAATAATATAGGAAATGCGGCCATATATACTGCTGTCCTCTTATTGAGACACTCSAATCAGCCAATCAGCGCGCGAGAATTTACACAAGTGTGTTAAAAAAATACCTTTTCCCAGAATTCTTTCTAATTCAGAGATAGCTTCCTTGAAATCTCCGACAAAATTTGTATCATGACAAACAGTTAATATTTGAGACTTTAGGATACACCGTATCGCTTTACAGGTATGGGTAACCTATCGGGTAAACTACCTCTTACACCAGAGAAACTGGTAGGTTACCGGGTAGGCAGATGACGACATTATTACATTAGCACTGTACGTCTTTTTTTATAAACTGCGAGATGCTCATTTACCTGTATTGGCTTAAGTATGGTATTAAACATTAGATACAGTGATATAACGTTAACATGACTCAACCTACTGATGAATACCGACCTTGCGTTGAACATCGTGTGTGGATCCTAGTGACTTCAAAATATATTGCTTTTCTTCTATTGATATTCGTGGATGTTCAGCAGGTTTCTCGTGGATAAAGATCGTCCACACTATAAACCATAATATTCCCTGGGCGCCTGATAAACAATTTATCATTAATTCGTATTTCCAGGTTGGGTCCTAGTCTCCCTAGCTTCCAGTACACAAAAGTTTAGGCTACCAAGGAGACTAGGTCGGATTAAGGATATTCTTTAGTGAGGGGGTTGGACTGCCTGTGTATAGTGTACATCAACGATACTTGGACGATAAAAGACAAACACAGGAAGCCCATGTAGCAATCACGGTCAGAAACACAATTCACTCTCAACACTTACCAAACAAATAAAAAACTGAAGGCCATCCACCCGTAACGTCCGAGTCACAAAGAAACCCTGATATACCCAAAGCTAGAATAGTCCCTATTCTTGAACCTTGGTGAGATAGATATTGGCGTTATGATATTATTAAACCATCCTCGAGAACCCAGGGGTAATCTTCTGTCGTTCGGGGGAGTGAGGAACGARWGACAGAAGATTACCCYTGGGTTGGTTCCCGAGGRTGTTATTGAAGGTAAATCGTTTTCCGTTTACAGTCATTCAATATATARGGAAAGATTGCAATATGGGGTTCTCTGAGAACCGAAAATCAGAGCTTTTTGGATCAAATAGGCAAAAAAGCAACAACAAAACTTATATGTGTTTGAAGAATTTCTTTCGTTATAAGAATATATTTTATTTTTGTAGGCGTTTGCCTATAAATATTCTCTTGATGAAGTCTGCCTTCTCTTTTAATCCAAATCAAAGATGGCGATTTCTCGTATGCACRTGGGCTTTTAAATAAAATGTCAACTGAAAAGTACCTGAAAATGTAATGGATACCAGCTTACTACGCTCTAGTGGAGGAGCCCAACTACTCCACAATGCATTGATGGACGGGAACGCCATTCCCTTAAAACGAAAATCAGAAATCAGTCACTTTTCATGTCATACTTTCCAGTGGCGAATAAGTTGGAAAAGTAACAATGACTGATAATGACCGACCAACCGACCGACCGACCGAATATTCAGACAACTCACCTCCCCAAGTCCCTCTAGAAGTCTTAGAGCTACAAAAGCACCAACACCTCGATGTGCAACCCATGGAGTCAATAGAGTCAAGACTGATGTACACAGGATCCCCAGACCAAACAAATGCTTACCACCAAACCTTGAGGCCAGCCAGCCTCCTGGTATTTGAGTAACAATGTAACCATAGAAAAATGCGGCGAGAATCATACCTGGAAATGGAAGCAGAATAATAAATTAAAGAATGAAAGGATGAAAAGATGGGTTAATGATGGATGTGATGAGAAATAAAAAGATGAATGAGAAAAATATATAGAGATGACTGAATGAATGAAAATAAGGGAAACAAGGATGGATATGAATGAATATATTTGAAACAAGCATACAAACAAGCAGAAAATCGATCAAACAATGAAAACAAGGTCAAATAGAGAGCAAACTACTTAAAAAAAACAACCAACCTCGTTCCCAGGGCCTTTTCCCTTAAGCGAAGGGATAAGGCCCTGGGAACGAGGTTGAAAAACAACAACTAAGAACCCGATCAACTGAAGTCTAAATAAGCCAAAGCAAAAAAGGATTAAGAAGTAGCTCAGCGGGAAGAAAGGTGGTCGAGGTTTGATTGGATGGGCTAGCAGGCTCTCCTTTTTCCGCTCATCTCCCCCAAACCCCCTTCCCCTTCCGTTTACTCCCTTCCCCCTCCTCTAGAGCAGATGCAGACTTAAGGCTGATTTACACGGCACGATTGTCTTGTGCGACTTGTAGTATACGACTTGAATCGCGCAGTGTAAATGCCTCTACGACTTGTCTACAACAGTCGTACGCAACCTACGACTTGTAGTAGGGTTTTGAACCACTGCTTAAAATCCTACGACTTGTAGTAGGAAAATCGTATACTACAAGTCGCGCGCGACAAATCGTACCGTGTAAATCAGCCTT